GTAAATGAGTCCTACTGAATACTTTGGTATTAATGCCGCACATTGCATGGTGGGCCAGGCTAGTCAAGTTTTTCGACCCCCCTCTTGAATAAATTCTGGTTTCGCCACCAGGTCAGGCATACCCTGGCCCCATTGTAACTACGTGTCTGTACTAAAGCAAATACAGTATGACAAAATTATACTCGTTTCTCAATGGTCGGTTTCGAGTTCCGACTCTTAGAGGGTTTCTTCTGCCCAAATAATTTTACGCAGAGAAATCCGAAAAAAAAACCGAATAAAATGTTCGTTGCTGTACGGCCAATGAACACTGATTGTGACGTCCATTATAATCGAGCTCGGCGCAATAATATCCCAGGCTCTGATGAGCTCTGATGCAGGTCAGGGTGTCCATCGTCCCTCTTGAATTACGGATCGCGTATCTATAAGTAGGTAACACTGTTATATTACAACTAGGACGTCGTGTGTAAAGGAACACGATGTTGGTTTTTCCAGCGAATCGGCAGACGCTTGGAAACTCGATTGGCCGCTGGCTGCGTTCAAAAGTCGTAATCTTCTATGATCATAGTATGATATACAAAACGGTATCACTCGTGGGAAAACACTGATCGAGGTCGGCAAAACTAGAATGGTTATTATACGTTCACCGTTATTTGCTGTTCGCGTTTTTACTTTTTAGCAAAAGGTACACTCCATTTCCACATTCCCGCCGACGTTCGATCTCGATTGCAAATCGTAGTTATTAGTAGGGATCGGATTTTGATGTGATTGCATCTTTGTGTCTGGAATGTTTTTTTTTAAGTTACAAATGTATTTCGAGTGTTGCGTTTAGCCAAGACCAAACGGTTTTTTTTCGGTCATTTTTGCATTTTTCGAGGTTTTTTATGTTTAAGTGTATTTTTAAACTCATAGGACTATATTTATTTTTTAGATCATTTTTTAACCTTTTCCTAGTGATATTACGACATTTTTAAAATATAACGTATATAATACACGTATTGTATTATTTGTATTAGAACAATAACATAAAGTAATGCGGTTTTTAAATAAAACGATTTACAATTTTATCTTGATTTCTGAAAAATCCTAGGCTGATCCCGAGACATTTTACCAGCACGTTTTTTCGGGTTTTAGCGGTTAAACCAAAGTCATTAGTATGCAATTGCATCTAATACGATACATTTGTATTTAAATAACTGTTTAGGGTATGTCTTGTGCATAAACGATTACAGATCGTAGTACCGTTCTATCATAGTCCATTATAGACCTGTATAAGCTAATGGACAACGTCTACCGGCACATCGATTTGCCTATAGTCTTAGAGCAATAAAATAGTTCACGGGGACGAGGGGTAGAGTAAGAGAAGAAGAAAGATTTGTTTGAGAATTCACGGAAGAATATTTACATTACGGGTTTTCTGCCGTGCGAATTACATTTATTCTGTGACATTAAAATCACAATCACGGCCTTAGAAGACAAGGTCCGGACTCTTTGCTCATCATTGTGTCGGCAAACAGAGGACATTTTAGTACATATATAATCAGCTATTTTGATAGCGCTTCTGATCCAACTTTCTGTATTTTACTGTTTACCAACCGACCAACAGTTACCATCGAGACACGTGACAATAAACAATCAACCAATACTACATTTTTGAAATATTTACTACTTATATTTAGGTCAGAAAATATGAAAATGATAAAGATATTTGGTTTTTTTGATACTCACAGTGGTCAATGAATAATATAATATCTCCATTGTGATCTTTTTCAATCTGCACTATGTCATCAGAGTTAAAATGTTTTTTTCACAAATAACAAAACTATTTTCTTAAGTTTTATCCCAAAGTCAGTTTTCCATTGGGCTTTAGTATGTTTAAGTGCAAAATTGTTGAGACTTCTGTCGCCCAATCGCAATGCGATGCAATTCGTAACACATTATTACACACTATGAATCATAACACGGAGAACTACTACGCAACTATAACGACGTAATTTTGTCGCGCATACACGTGTAAAAATCGGTTGAACTGTCGGACATCCGCGGGCAGGATGGGTATTGCGATATTTCAATCATTGGGGAAAATAAAATCTATAAAAAAATAATGAATAATAAACATTTGAATCTCCTCTCGCGTGTGTACCTATGTGTGTATTTATTTGTCATATCGAATCCATCATTTGCCAACACAACCGCCGCGCGCATCACTCTGCCCCGCCACCACCATCACATATATAATGTACTCACGAACTGAATATGCGTCGCACAATCCGGCAGTTTTGTTTTTACATTATTTTTATCACTAATTGAAATATCAAAACCAGATTTTCTAAAAAATTTTTTTTTTATGTACCTACTTAGATCGCTTAGGCGTTCAAGTGTTACATAATATGAATGTGGTATTATATTCAATAGGCGTTACGTATATTTGTATTTTTTTTTTTTTTTAACTTTCATGTTATTGCATCACTTAAACGTCGTGAGGAGAAATCGTCCACCCAGTGGATAAAGACCGGACTTCATTTGTTGACAACAACTAAGTTTAGGTTCTAACGATCTGGAAGTTTGAAAATTAGGTAACTACAAAATGGCTTTTAGAAATTCATCGTAGAAACATAATATTATTGACACGTTATTTTACGACAACAAACAAAATTATTAATATTATTATGTAATATCGTTAAAACTAGTAGTATCGTTGTTGTGATAAATTGAAGGACAGATCCTGTGAGATTCGGTGCACAGGGTACGTTCGAAAGTCACGAAATTCATATAACTAATTAGGATAGATTGTTGTATTTTAAAGGGTCTAGAATCAAGGGTGTACCGTACGGTTTATGTTATTAGATCGGCTTTATGAGACAAACTGCAAAATTCACGTTTGTGTGCACTCATATTTTATAGTGGCAATTTACGATTATTCGGTTATATATTGTCATTGTGCGTTTACCTCGTTATTGTAATAATCGAAAATCGTTCTAATGGTTAGTGGACAGTGATACAATCATAAAGTATATCGTTATGATATTATAATATCCAAACAATACATTTTTTCTAGTATTATGGTCATTGACATGATTTGGGTGAAATTAATTTTGGTGAAAATCTAAAATCTAAATTTTAAATGCTTACAAATATATAAATATCATCTGATGTGTTTTTAATTATGAAGAGTAATGTCAAATTTCAGAAATTTTTAAAGAGAAATTTCTAAAATTTAAAAATTAATTTTTTTTATACAGTACTATTTTACTTAAGGTGTGTAAAAATTAGAAATATTCGTTCAATTTTGAAGTTTAAACCCAACCTATATTCAAATTAAAGAAAATACTTTGTTTGAATAACCGCAATACAAAGTGATGAGGATTTAAAAAAAAAAAAAATTATGAATATAATATATATTAAATGGTATACATAATATATTTTATTTAATGTATGAACTATAAACACATATTATTAAATTCTAATTTAAACATACAAATATACTATTACTGTGCATAACATTATATTATAATTTATAGCTATTACTGAATATGATTTATACTACAAATAACATTTATTTTAATATTTATTTTTATGTTTTTATAACTGAACTTCATATACTATTTGATTGAGAATACAAACTATATATTTATGTTTATAAACGTTTATAAAGTACTCCAATTGAAAATTCTTATTTTTAGAATACAAATTTTGCACCAAGCATTATTTTCAAAAGAATACAGTATAAAATATAAGCCATAGAATTTTGTATGAATTCCTGATTAAAATACATTATGTATAATAAATACACTATTCATTCATTGTTGATATTTTGTTAATTAAAATATATAGCTTCATCCATTATTTCATAACCATTATTTGAATATTTCAAAAAATAATTTTTATTGAACTACATATTACTGTATTTATTTTTATCGATAAATTTATATGGAGAAAAAATGATTTTTAGGACGAAGTCATAAATTAATAATAACTTTTATGAGGTAGGTGTTCTAAAAATACATGTTTTTTCTCGATGAAAAAGTTAAATTTATAACATTGATCATGGAATAAAAGTAAAACGAACATAACATATTGTAAATATACAATATACACGTAAACCAAATTATTTACAAAGATACAAATTATATTTAAATCAAAGGCTTCAAAAGCCCGATACTATTTGATGACCTTTGAATTGTACAAACTAGCAGAGTGACGATTCGTAAAGACATCTTTGATTTCAATGAAGGACAAACTACTCAGATATTATCTTCCTAAAATTGTTTCCAAAACATGATAAAGTACCTAGTAATATTTTACTCGGACCTCGGTCTCTTAACATTTCTAAGACATAAACAGATCATATGTCTACATAATGTGTATTCAATACAATCCTCTAAAATTGGAATCTCGTTTACACATAAATATGTATTGTAGGTATTATATTGACTTTAATTTACACTACCGTGACAGGTGCCATCGATTTTTATGATATCATACTACACTCCATTCACGTTAAAAAAAGGACCTCGGCGGTAACTGTCATAGTTTTCGTCGTGCGGCGGTCAGGCGACACCCCTCGGTCACCCACACCGAGTCAACCAACTGTTTTTTATTATTATTTTTTTAAAGTCTCTCTGACTTGGTCGTCTGAACTCATTATTAAATTTATGTAATAAAATGTCGATTGTCGAGAACAGTAGAAGTCGATTCATGCGATGCAAATAAAACAGTGATAGTAATAATATTTACAAGATTACTACAACGGCGTAAACCATCCGCACGGCTGTCGTCTATAGTAGAGCCATGCCCGCCCCTGCGAATAAGTCGAGCACCTAAGTACTTTCGCGAACGCAGTAAGAACCATGATAGAACATTTAAAAAATAATGCACACATACACTGAACAACACTATAATATATACCGCCGTCATATTGTACATATTATTATACTTGCGTAAAGGTTAATCGGCTTAATAAAGCCCTGATTTAATCGGATTGTTTTTGTTTTTCTCCGCAGAAACTTCTCTGTTGTATGACAACAAGCACTACCACGAAGAATGTTTGCGCTGCAACTCGTGCGGAATGAACCTTACCGGCCCGAACCAGAAACGGGCCAGGAGGTTCAAGAATCACATACTGTGTGATCTACACTTCGCCGACGTGGCCTTGATGGAGTGCTCAGATTTCATGCAACAACTTCGCAGTTTCAAACCACAATCGTTGGGTTGTGCTGTGGCCAGGAGGAAAAGCTCTACGACGCTCATATTCCCGTTGCCACCGCAGGCGTGTGGAGGTGAGCGCTTTATATTATGACGATATAAAAATTAGTTTGTAATTAGTCGTAGGTATAGTGTTGTGAGCGTTCGATTGTGTTTGAGTTGGAAACGAAAACAAAAACGGTCAACTCTTCCAGCGATCGACGTGGGTTATAATATACCGCTGTAGACGATTAAAATAGGCTGTTCTATTTTCCGAAAATTCCAAAATGTCTTACGAAATATTGAATGATTTATCTCCGAAAAGATAATAAATTGAATTCCATAGGTATGAAAATCATAATCACATTTTCGACTATTACAGTTGACTATAAAACATGTACCTAATCTAAATAACTAATCGTAGTTCATTGTTAATCGAATTATGAAAAAATGTTCAAATACGAATGTAGTGGTAGTATAAAATCGCGATATTCAAAATGAAAGCACATTAAACATGATATAAGTCGTACAAATTCAATAACATGGTTCGAATGATGATGATTTATTTTTATCTGGGTGATTCGATTCACTGAAATCGTATATAAGAGATGGTACGGAATTTTCAGAATATCAGTTATCGAATCAGATCGTTTTACCGAGACAAAAAAAGAGAGACGAATTTGAGCACGAGATCTCGGGAAGATGTATATAAAACAAAAACAAAGAGCAAAATAGTGTCTTTCGATAACATGAGAGAGGAAATAAATAGACACATGGCAAAAAATAATAATAATAATAATAAAATAAGAAGAGGAAGAACAAAAAAAAAAAAAAAACCCCTAACGAAAAGCTGTCACTCGGTGTTGTCTAAGTCACGCGAGGCCACTTCAAAGTCCCCCCCCCCCGGCCACCGTGTCATTACACTCGAAGAGTTACGTTCGGCGAACACGGCAAAATTCAATTTGCTCGGCCGCCGGCGTCGTTCGTACAGCGTTCGCCGCTTTCCACACTCCCCTCGCTGTGCACCAGTGTCTGTGCGTGTGTAAGACCAACACAGACACACACACGCACACACACACACACACACACACACACACACACACACACATGCGCACACACATCATATACTTTTACCTGAACTCGAGGCTGGTATAGCCGGTGTCGCCCGACGTATTTCCACGAGTTTGCCGGATGTGGAGACGACGACCGGCCGACTCGACGACTTTGTGCGATAATAGTGCGGCCGGCGCGGCTTCGATAACAATATAATATTATGATTATATCATTATTGCTTCGACGCGTTCGAACTTTAGGTGCGCGTCCTATTGAGATCCCACCACAGATATATACTATTCACTAGATGCCCGACTCCATATAGGCACTGCGTGTTGCTGTTTGAAGCCAAATAGGTTGGGCAATGTTTACAATCTGTTATCAATATAATTATTATGATAACATAATAATATTATTATTATTATAAAAAATGTACCTACTACCAAACACTAATGAGCACTTCAAACTATTTGCTCCTACGAGTGCTATAGTAAGTAATAGTATAAGTACTACCATGTGATTTGATAATATAAATTTTAAATTATTATAAACTATAATTCTGTCTGTTATCACTAACACTGATAACATCGGCTTGTAAACAATACCCAATCTGCATTATGACTGTTGGCTTCAAGTATGGGAACCGAGTCGGGCATCTAGTAATTATTATAGTATATTATATCTGTGGATGCCACGCATATCAATGCATTATTATTGCGCGTAATCGGCGCGGTGCCTATATTCGGCGGCGAGTGATGTGCGCATCATATACCACATACCGGGTTCGTGTCATATTATAGTGGCCCACTCGCAGCCGATGTTCCCGCGGCAGAGGGTTGAATTGCGACCATTGTGATGACTGTGACCCCGTGCTCTTATACTCGTTAGACTTTGACGATCTGCGAAATATGACCGTGTGGGCCCGGCAGAGGTGAACGCTTGTTTATTACATAGTGTAGGTATAATCTATGCAGACGGAGATGACAATATCCATGTTCACCGGTGGTCGGGGCTCTTGGCTAGTCACGATATAGTATATTGCAGCTTTTCTGGTCTGATTTCGATTTGCACCGCTTCTCCGTTATACCTGCGCTCGCTACCCGGCACCGTCTATTTTTGATGCGTACCGATCGTCTTTGTAAATAAAGTCTTGCAGACGAACATAATATATGAAATATAAATCGATATTCCATTTATATGAATATTTTTTGTTTATATTTTTTTCTCCATTCGAGACTCCAATATCAATAAAATATAGGATTTTCAATCATTTAAAAATTTAAATAAATTTACATTCACTAAAATAACCAAAATAAAACGTATCTGACGTACGGTATACGTGACTGGGACGTATTGTTCTTACGTGGAGTTTAAAAAACAGAATACGCATAGCTCTAAGCGACCGCTGTGAAATTACTGTAATACGACGCAGGTTATATAAAAGGGACCAGGACGAATAGGAATAAGTAGTAACAACAGCGTATGGTGGATAACTTATCGCCAATACTCAATTTGAAGATTATTTTTGACTTTATTTGTGTATGATTTGAACATAAAAAACCTTGATTACTAATGAGCTCGTATGGCAGTGTATCAACAATCAATTTGGGTCTATGCTACAAAAATAAATTGTGATTAATAGGAACTTTGTAGTGATAATATTATACGTGTAACGTATAAATTATAATTTCAATGTGTGTGTGTGTGTGTGTGTGTGTGTGTGTGTGTGTGTGTGTGTGTGTGTGAGCCCGGAACCGTAAATCGTATATATCCCAAAACGACTGTAAATTTTATATTTTTATCTTTACTATACTTTCGTTGACACCTACTATACCTAAGTTTATGTGAACCTCTCTTCAGTCATTGGGAACGTGTGTACGGTATTTTAGGAAGTCGACTATAGTTGTTCGTCAAGTGACGTGGCCAGGTCGACGAAGTAGAGCGTATAGCAGATAAATCCGGTGAGGTAGTTGGTCATTCAAACTGGTGCAAATGGTAGCACGTGTGATATGTAACATGGCAACCGTTGTCATAAGCGATATACCAAAAGAGATTTGAAGTTATAAATAGCTTTTATTTTAAATACGACTAGTAATTACTAATTAGTATAATAATTGAACTCGGTACACATAACGCTGAGGCATTGCGAACACTCAAATAAAACTGTTTTATAGCTACGACGGAGATTTCTTATGCCTATTGACTTTTGTCGTGACCTCGACGAAAACAGTTTTGTGAATTCGATTTGGAGATTATTTGTACTGAGTTATATTGCTTATATCTGTGTGGCCGCTCTGCAATCGGAGAGCAACCAATCAGAAAATTGACTTAACACCTCCCCCCCCCCAGTAATATTCGGAAACCATATAGATTCAGTGTTAATTTCGACATGCTATATCCTATGAGTATAAACTATAAACACATCAATAGATGGTTATTGGAATGTAACTTATTCAAAGACAAAGGCAAACACTTTCAGAAATATCTTTAGGATATAGCTGACTACAGAGAATTTCAGAGTAAAAAGCTTCTTTGAAAGACGTTTGACTTCATTGAACCTGAATAATAATATTGTATACAAGTATTTTAAACACTGTTAGTACCTATGTTTAAATTTAATTACTTTTAGAAATGGCCGAAAACTTTATTTCTCACTAGTGTGAGTTTTTAAATCAGAATTATCATGGCTGAGCATAAACAAGGTGCCTAATACTTGTAACAAAGTTATTTTTTTTTAATGAATTTTTAACTCGACTAGTTATAATATTTTGTTAAACAGACATAATCAGTAACTAATCAATTAATTAATATCATATTATTTCTGTTGGTACATATAGTAGAGTCTGGTAATATATTTTTGCTAATAGTTCTAAATTGTTGGGTATACACTTTTATCAAATTTACTTATGTGCTTTGACGTTGATTGTAAAAATGCAATAAACTAGGTTACTTTTTTATTTAACTGTACTTTTAAAATTTGAAATGAAAGACAAGTAATTTTTAACTTGCATTAATCTATATTAACTTAATGAGTTAAGACAATTCGTTAACTTCACCAGCCTTAAAAACTAGTATTATTTAAAATTGGAACAATATCGAGAAGTGCAGGCGCTATAAAATATTCATTGATTGACAAGTACCAACAATATTAAATTTTCAAACAAACCAGTACCTTGTTAATATTTTTATTATTTTTAATAATATTTTAAAAACACATATTTCACATAATTGTTGTACCAACATAAAATTTCAACTGCAAAACGTTATTAATTATTAGTATACAATCGCATCTAATACATACTATATAAAACACAGTCATACTGAAATGTTGCGTAACAAAAACTGTGATAGTTACATAATAATTTACTTTTATCCCAATAATTAAGTAAAATATACTTTTAAAGAGCCACTGTTTTATTAAAATTTAAAGCCAATTAAAATATTATGCTATTATGCTTCAATGCCAATCAAAATGAAATAAAATCGTCCGTTTATAAATAGATAATTCTGAAATACGTACATTATTGAATTTTATTGCATTTAAAGTTATATTATTAAGAATTTGTAATTTTAAAAAATGTACGCCAACTATAAAACAGTCGTCTAATTTTACGATTTTCAATAAAAAAATTAATAAAGTTAACATACTACATGTAATATTTTTATATGAAAATTGTAAATTAACTTATTTAATCTAACTCGAGCGTATTTGCATAACACCACTTTTTCGATTAAACTTCTTAGAAAAATAATATACACACTTATACATACATATACATATACATATACTTATACATTGTATCATTATATGCATTCATATTTGGTACAAAACAAAGGTGAGTTACTTTGAATCAAACTAAAAAAAAACACTTACCCACTCACTCAGTGGCTGGCTGTAAAAAATATATAATACTTGTACTGTTTCCTTTTTCACGTCCAATCGAATGAGTTTAAATTCTTTTTAATATTTAGTTATTCGTCACATTAGGTATACACGCTAAGGTTAGTGCGTAAATAACAATATAACGTTGTTTCCTTTTCGATGTCCAGTCGAATGAATTTAGCATTTCAATTCTATTTG